AGTCGTTCTGACTGGCAGTGAGAGCAAACTCCAGTCTCCCTCTCAGCCATGCCCTGGCTCCACACACCTGGCTGCTGTCTTGGTTTCCTCACTCACAGCCTTTACTCTCTTCTCATCCTCCTTCCCTCAGACCACATTCTGGCTTCAGATTCAGGGTTTTGCCTGGCTTCCCAGAGCTGCTTGATCTCTTGCTGGGATGTTTCTTGATGTCCTGACTGTTAAACTCCCTGCTTAGCTCCCTGTGAAAAAGCCCCTGCTTGGGAAGGGAGACAACAGGGTTTCTGTAGTCAGGAAACAAAACCACTTCAAATGTTTATCATACAAAACGCTTTAAAAATAGACTTTATTTTTTTATAACAGTTTTAAATTTACCAAAAGATAGAGAAGATAGTACAAGAGTTCCCACATACCTCACACCCCGCTTCCCAGATTGCTAACATCGTACCTGTTAATGTGCGGTGTGTTTGTTACAATCAATAAACCATTACTGATACATTATTACTAGCTAAAGTTCATACTTTATTCAGATTTCCTTAGTTTTTACGTAATATCCTTTTTCTGTCCCAGGATCCCATACAGCACACCACAATATATTTCATCGTCATGTCTCCTTAAAACACCTCTTGGCTGTGACAGTTTCTCAGACTTTCCTTATTTCTGATGACCTTGACAGTTGTGAGGCGCCCTGCTCAGGTGTTTTCTAAGGTGCTGTTCCACCGGAATTGGCTGACGGGCACAGAAGGAATTTAATGCAGGGGATTGCTCATACAGCAAAGTGATGGAGACTCTGAGATGCAAACAGGGGAAGGTAAAGTTACCCAAAGACGAATTTCAGCAAAAAACATTTAATATCCCATAACTAGAGTGTTAACAGGAAGTGGCAGTGTGACCTAAACCAGGGGCTGGGGTCACCTGAGGTCACCTGGTGGACGCCTCAGGCAGATGCAGCCACTGCTGGGGAAGCCCTCAGAGGCAAGAGGGAGGGCAAGAAATCTGGCTTTTCCTTTCCTCCCACCTCCATGCTCCCTCCAGTGCCTTTCATGGACCATACCCATACCCATATCCATACCCATCTGATCCAGGAGCCGGTAAAACTCAGCTTGCAAGAGGCTGCTCCTAGCAATACAGAGCAGCGGGCATGCTGAGAATGGCTCTAAACACAAACTGGTCCAGGACTGGGACAGTTGGCATGTGAACACAGCACCCTGGCAAACAGAAAACTTAAAACTTGATGGCTGAGCAATGCTCCTGTCACCTATGCTCCTTATCAGAGACTAAGAACTGACTCCACCTTATACATGGAGGAGTCAGGTATTCCATGTGCCTTCCCAGCATTGAAAGTCCTCAAAACCCCTGAAAACTTTGTCACATGGTTTTACTGCAGCACTTACCCCATTGCTCTGCCATTGTTTGCCTGTCCATGGGCTCTGATTGATGACAAGTGCTTCGAAGGCAGTATTTATTTTTTATACTCAGAGCCCTAGAACAGTACCTTGCTCATACTAGGTTTTCAAAGTTTGAAATATAGGGCCGGCCGAGTGGCTCAGTTGGTTAAGAGTTAGCTTAAGAGCGCGAGCTCTGAGCAACAGGGCCACCAGTTCGATTCCCACATGGGCCAGTGACACTGTGCCTGAGCTGAGCTGCCACTGAGCTGCCAACAGGTGGCAGCTGGTATAACAAGATTGCCTGTTCGATGGAGGGCTACCGCCCACCGACAACTAAGATTGAACTCAGCACCTTGAGCTGGGCTGCTGCCTGGATGGCTCAGCCAGATGGCTCAGTGGATAGAGCGTGCGCTCTTAACAACAAGGCTGTTTGTTCGACTCCCGCATGGGATGGTGGCTATGCCCACCCGCAACTAAGATTGGACACAGCTCCTGGAGCTTAGAGGCCACAAGCTGCCGCCAGGCAGCCAGATGGTGACTGGCACCCTCCACAATGAAGACAATAAAGAACAACAACTTGGCTGGTCCCCTTCCCCAATTCCCAACAGTGTTCTCCTCCTCCAGTTCCCCAATAAAAATCTTTAAAAAAAAGTTTGAAATATACACCGTTGAATGAATGAATGAATGAATGAATGAATGAATGGCTCAATGAATGAATGAATGAATGGCTCAATGAATGAATGAATGAATGATGGTTTCTTTTGACCGGTACCTCTTCTGGTGTGCTCTAGCTTTGAGGAATTGCTCCCTCCCAGCATTTCTTTTCAGCTTCTCATCACCTTCTATTGGTGCTAAGATTACTTTGAGCCTAGCATTTGCAACATTGGAAGGCCACATGGATGGTGTGACTATAAAGTAATTAGACCAGTTTTCAACAAAGGAGTCAAGTTGTGCATTCATCCTTCTAAGCAGTTCCTAAGGAAGGTCATCCACATGTTCCACGAGGAGGCCATGCCTGGCTTCTTCCTTATGAGCTGCACGCGCATACAAAAGGAATGGAGCATTTTCAAGAATAAAATGTTTCTGTCTTTTCAGCTAAATGTCACCCAGCCCTCACCTGGCTGGTATTTAGGTGGGTTGGGACACATCATCAGATAAGTTACATTTCCTTTCGGCGGAGGGGAGGAGGAAGTGGACTGCCACAAACAGAACTGACTGGTGACTTTCTCATGGGTACACGAGGGCTGAGAAGTATTGCCTTCGTTGTCACCAAGTCTGAGCAGTGACATCCCCATCTCACTAACAGGCCACCCCCTATCTGAAATGCTGAGGTGCCCAGGGTTTTGAGGACTTTCAGTGCTGGGGGGGCAGGGAGGGCATATAGAAAACCTCACTCCTCCGTGCATAAGGTAGAGTCAATTCTTAGTCTCTGATAAAAAACAAAAAGGTGCATAGGTAACAGGAGAATCGCTCAGCCCTAGAGTTTTAAGTTTTCTGTCTGCCAGGACAGCCACAGGACGGACATCTGACCAGCCTGGGTCTCACTAGCCATCTTATTTAGCAGAGACAAAAACATTTTCAAGTAGCCTGTTCTTTCCGTTCTGGTAAATGGCTATTCTACTACAGGTGAAAAACGATGACTACAGAAACCTCTCCTCATTTTTGTTCTGGATACCTCATTTTCCACAGTAATTATAGATAAATAGTTGGGAAGCCAGGTGGTGAACTTGAAAAAGCAGAGGTCTGTCGCAAATGTGATTTTGGACAAGTCACTTTCCCCTTCCATACCTCCACTTTCTCGTTTGAAAATTGGGAATTATAATGTCTGCTGTATCACATAGATATGGTAAAGATCACATGAGATGTGTGTTAGAGTACTTTGAAGATTGACAAGTGTAACATATTACAACTAATTCTTCAAGTCGACATAGGGCAGCCGACAAGGTGCTTTTGATGTTTAATTAATACTAAAAATCTGCCATTACATTTATTTAGCCATAATTGGGAAGGAGGAGGGTGAGAGTCATTTTCAAAGGGACTTGTTCTGCTCCAAAAATAGAACTCAGAAAACACATATTTGATTTTCCTTTTGGTGGCAAACCACAATGCCATTGTTATTAGCAGTTTTGCGGAACCGTGACCTTCAAACTTGGTGATATCAAAGACGGAAAGGAAAGAAATCTCCCAGTTTTGAAGCCTTTCAAAGAGGTTTTTCAAACTAAAACACTTATTTTTGAATTAAGGGCGAATAGAATGGTCCTCTTAAATAAACACTTGGGAGTTTAAAAGTTGCCTTCCAGGTGGCCTGCAGTGAATAAATGTGCTGAGAGGTCACTGAAAGCCCTTTTGGGGACAATGAGGGTAATCTGTTATTGGGGGTCCATGTAACACCCTTTCTAGAGTTAACAGAGAAATTTAGAGCTTACATTTTCCCGAATTGTAAGTAAGCTGATTTGTGTATACATCTAGGACCATAATTTACTTTCAGTTTACTGAATTTGTGAATTTTCACATTTGTTTTAAATTGTAATTAAGTTTGCTCTATGAGGCACACCATATGCCACCATTAATTCTCTCTTGTTGATTTCTTAGGAGATACATGAGTGCATATTTTGATGCAATTTTGAGGTCTTTTGAAAATCAAATGACTACATGTTTAGCCATATGGGCCTTTGTTATTTAAAATAGCATATGACAAATAAGCGAAAGCAAATGCAAAAGGACTTGTTAGGAAAAAAATAATTGGAAAAACTGTTTAAAACATTGTTTTAAACACAGAATTTCCACCACCACCCTTTTTTTGCGTTATGGTTTTTAAACCTATCTTTATTGATCCCTCACTGTCTCTTACCGTCTGTGAAATGCACTGTCACACGTGCATCGAGCCAACCTATTAAACCAGGTACTGCCCTAAGCTTTACACGGGGGCCGCTGATATTAACATCCACCTTCAACGAATCCAGCTGTAGCCAATGTTTTCCTGTTAACATCTTACGCCAGGATTTGACAGTAAGCTCCAGTTCATTCGCACATATGGTGTCTGGTTTTGAAAGGGGCCGACGGGTGATTCGGTTTTCGCGGGGATTCGCGGTGCTCACCAGCTGCCTGCCGTTCGTGCGGGCGCAGACCCGGCCACGGGCGGGCGGGCGGGCGGGCGCGCGGCGCGCACTAGGACCCAGCAGGGCTCCAGGCCGGGGTGGGAGCCGCGCCGCCGACCCCGGGCGGGCGCCGGGGCTGGAGCCGGGGTTCCGGCCGCGATCCGCTGCAGCTCCGCGGGGAGACGGTGCGACCCGGCGGCTGGGCCACCCGCGAGTCCAGTGCCCCCGCAGCCCCCCAATGCAGCCGCGAGAAGCAGCGGGGGGGCAGGCGATCGAAGGTAACGAAAATGGGGCTCATTTCCTGCCTCCTGATCTTCTGCTCTGGTTCAGCATTGTCACGAGAAGCCCTCACTGTTCAGGCTGCTGCATTTTGGGGCACCCTTTGATTTTTTAAGGTGTCCGCCCGCACATTTCCATCTGGTTTGATTGATTTATAGCATGCAGCTCATACGGGAGCGATCCAAGGATGGCAAGTTGCATATTTTCATTAGTTTTGTCTCAAAAGTAAGTTCATTAAAAAAAAAAGTTTCTCAGGAATTTGTAGATAGTCGTTTCTTTAAAAATTTAAAAAAAATAAATGGATAATTTTTAAAATTATCAAGTAATTGATGCAATTGTTAATTACTTCCTAGGGCTTTACTTCTGTGGGCTCCCCAGGCGTTACTTTTATTTTCAAGGAACTAACGTGTTAAATGTGGAGTTTGGCTCAGGCAGAGTTTACAGCATTTGCTGTCGCAACTGTTTTGCTATCAATTATAAACAGTGTCAAATCTGTGGGCAGTTTGAATCTCTTTTCAAATACTGTAACTGGTTATCCTGCTATGACATCTACAGATGAGACTTTCCTTAGAGGGCAGCCAGAATATTTCCCATTTTGGAGAAACATTGTTTTGAGGAGAAAACCATGATTCCTGGCTGGGGAGGCTGAAGAGACTATTTTTCATGCTTTGTTTATACTCCCGGGATGACATATGGGGAAGGGAAACATATTCTTTCTCTACAGCTTTAATTATGGGATTATTAATTTCTCTAATTTATTAGTTTCAATTGGTTGGGCTCAGGGAGCCCTCTGTCACAGGATGTGCTTAAGGTGACACATTTGCTAGCAGTTGGGACACATGATTGCAAATGTAAAATGTGCCTCGTCTGAAAGGAGTGGTCTGCTGGGAGCTCCCATGTGGAGCTCCCATGTCTTAGGCAGGGTGCGACTGGCTCATTGAGGAAAAAGGGAATCATTTTCCTTAGCTAAGGAAGACATCCTGTGATATTCCTTTTGTTCCCTGTTTTTCATTGATCGCCAGGCTCTGCCTTAGAGAGGGGAGAGCAGCACAGAGAGTGCAGAGCTTGGAAGACTGCACAAATGACTACAGCCTACTTTAACTCTCACACTGATTGGTCAGTTAGACTGAGACTTAGAAAAACAGTCCCCCAAACCCTTCCTTTACAATCACACTGTAATTTCAGATTAGCCGTCTATGCACAGATTTCTACAAGATTGATTTTTTAATTTGGGTGCAATTTGCTTGAGGTACCTTTATGTTTAATTTTGTTGTTGTTGTTGTTTCTATCCAGAATTAAAGTAGGCCATTTTGGTGACAAATTTCTTTGCGGACGTCAGCTTCTAGCTTACATTTAGAGACATATCACTTTACAATCCATTCTGCATTTTTCCTCAGGAGTTGTAGAATGCAAAGTTGTTCAACTTAGAATAATTTTCCTGCCGTTTTTTTAATCTGAATACCTAAGTAGCACTATCCGCAGATGGATGCTTAACTGCATCTTTACTTTGATAATGTAAGTGTCTTGTGCGTTAGCATGGATCCCACATGAAATTGAAGTCTGTGCAACAGTGAAAGAAAAAGGCAAGAGCAAACAGTCAAACTTGTCTTGCACACTGTTGTAAGAAATTGTGGCATCTGGTTTGAGGAGAATGCATTTTACATCCAAGAAAAAGTGCATTGTTCACCTTATAGAATATGAATTAGTAATGTGGAATGTTATAGCTATAAGAGGAAAAAAATACAAGGTCGGTGGACATCTCCATTTGAGCTTTAAAACACCTCAATTAAAGAAGCACTATCCCAGAAGTTGCTAAATGTATAAACACTTTCCCGATTGGCTTAAAAATTTAGACGCAGGACATGGATGGAATCTAATAAGCGGTGAGTGGAGACATGGTTGTCGTGGAAACCAAGAAGAGTAACCCCGCCACCCCCCTCTCCCAAACACTACCATAACCACCCCTTAAAACAAACACACACACACACACACACACACACACACACACACACACACACACTGCATGTCATCATAGATGCCTGGAGAACATGTTGGCTTCTGTAAGCTTTCCCACAGCATCTGTTGAAACCCAAGATTGTGCCTGTCAAATCAAGGTCATTTTACAACAACAACCAAAAATGCAGTCTCCTAGATTTCATAACTGTATTTTTGTTGAAAATATGTGAGGAAAAAGCCTTCAAGGAAGGATGAGCACACGTGCTTACGTGGCATTTCACTGCTTCTGAGTTGTGCAAGGAAAGCCTAAGATGAAGGTTTTGAGCCCTTTAAATTGTAATTGTGGAATCAAATTGATTTGTATGTCTGCTGTTATAATGAAACTCTTTTTAGAGCTGTGAAGACGAGAATGTTACCTGTGGACGAAGAGTCATTTGGGGGCAGGTATAATGAAGACTTTCTCTTTGCAAGAGGGTTCGAAATTGAACTCTCACAATTGAATTCCAAGAACTGGCATTTTTGGAACCCAGCTCTAAGGCTTCGTGTGCGGGGATAAAGGAAGACCCTGTCTGGGGTTTTGGGGAGTATCAGGGAGGGTGTTCTCAGCAGCTGAGCTTGGAGGAAAGGAAAACTAAATTGAAAGAATAGTTTCAAAACAGCAACTGTTATTATTTGATTAGCTTAGAAAAGTTTCTTTTGTGAAGAGAAGAGTGCTTTAGTTTTTAGGATAATTGAGAGGTCCCCAAATATTTTCAATATTTGATTGTGAATATTTTCAGTGTCTTAGTAGTGGTTGCAGTGAGGGGAGTAAAGAAAGAAAAGTTTGGAGACCAGGCACCCCCCCACCCCTCGCCCCCTTTCACTTTGCTAAGCGAAAAATAACCAAGGAGGCCCTCTCCTAAATTTTGACTTTGGGGATCAGCAAATATAAAAACAATGCATTTCTTATATTTCTCTATCTTGCTAATGGTAGTCGTTACATTTTAAGTTCTTGATATTCATTTAGAAATATCTTCCTTCCAATCATGATGATTTAGAGTATTGCATTGCTTTATCTTAATTGAAAATAGCCAGTTTTAAATCTCATTTAATTAACACTTTGATCTTTTTAAAAAGCAGCAAGTTTCCCTTGTTTTCATCAACTAATTGCATCGGGGGAGAGAGGAGGTAGGAGGTGGAAAGAACCCTAACACTATTTCAGTGTTTACTTAATATCCTGCATCTATGTCATAGGAAATACTACAGACTTTAGAAGTGACATAGCATTGTTGGATGATTTAGCATACATTTCATGATCCCATGTTGTCAGATATTTAATGGATTGGGATTTGGTGAAAAAGGTTAAGTTTAATGGCACAACTGTTCTCTTTTAGCAAAGGATTTCCTGCAGGGAGCTTTCTTATCTGGAGCTATGTTCATTGGCAGGAAACATGTCAGTTGCTTGTTTTTACAAACTGAAGGAAATGAATGGGATTTGTTGGTTTCTAGAATCTGCCTTCATTCTCCATTGTCTGTCAAATAGTTTGCTCAGAACACTAGATTTCTAAAGGGACTTTTGAGGAGCACAATTAAGTCACTCCAAATCTTTGGCATTTCTGTTTATTTAATTTTTTACTTTGGGATTAGAAAAATTGATCATTACACTACCATGTACAATTTACCAATACAAATTAGCAAGATATTCAATAAAGTGCCAATTCATTTTCAGTTGTCAGATATACACATACTCACTGTAGCAAGCATGATTTTTTTCTTTTGATAGATATGCCAAATTTCTAATAATTAGCCTAGAATACCAACCAAATGCCCATCTCAGTTTTGGATTAGCCTGGAGAGATAAAGGGAGAGAGACAGCTCCATTCTTCTCTTTGCATATAAGAAAAAAAAATCCATAACACTACATATCATGTATTAGCCTACTTTGCTGATGGCAAACATTTGAGAGGAGGAGAGTCGGAAATTGGGAGTGGGGGCTTGCTAACACCAGTTTAGAGTCTGTATGAGAAAACAAATCTTAGCCTTGAAGATAATTATTGTGCAAAACTCTGGATTATTTTTTGGATATTATTAATAAATATGGTTGTTTCAATTCATGTACGTTTCAAATTCTGGAAGAGGAAACAAGGGCGAGCTTCTTTAAAGGAAAATAAATGTATAAACTCTATTGGGAGGAACAGACTGGGGAGGGGGTTAAGCGTGTCTGAGGGAGAAGGAAACATTTGTTGCAATGGTTATGGTTTTCACACCTTTTTGAAGGCATCATTTTTGTTTTATATTTAGCACCAAATGAAATCTTATGCAAGACCCTAATATATGAGTGGAATGAAAATAGAACTGCTTTGGGGGAAATCAAGAGCCAGGAGCCCAGAGGCTGCTCTCTCCCGTTGGTCGGTGCCTGGGACACACCCCTAGTGCTGCTCTGAACACAGTTTGAAAACCACAGCTTTTAAAGCACCCAAAATATTCTCTAAAGAAGGCCCGAGGGAATGACTTGCAGAGTCCTGGAATGGATTAGCTGAAGAGAGAATTTTTGTCTTGACAATTTAAAAGGGCGCTTGTGCTCAGAGCAAATCGGAAAAAGATAGGTAACGCAATGTACGCTAATAAGCCGACATGTAGCCAGCCAACGACTGAACCTGCCATAAGTATGAGAAAGCCCTGGTCCAGTCTATAATAGGGACGGAGAAAGGATGTTTTTAAGGGTTACTTACAAACAAACCAGGCCTCCCTTTCCTTATGAGTTATAGGAACATCGCATGGAGGGTTTGAGATCGGTTGGCTATGATTGTCCTCGAATGCGTGAATTTACTTGATTCCCACCTCAGGAGCTGTTATATCACTGTTACTCTATCCGTCAGTGAAAATTATTTCATATTAAGTGTCATTCATGAAATGAAAAGTGTGCCAAGCTACATAATCTGCTTGGCAGACTCACTGGTGTTTTGAGTGTTGAGTAAAATGATAACACACAGATGATATTTGAATATCATCGTATATTCCACTTTACCTGCTCTATCATGAGATTGACTTAAGTGGCAATATT